CGGGTTTCCCCCCCCCCCCCCGCCCCGGTTGTGTGTGGGCATCAGCCTTGTTGTCACCCCTCCTTTCGAAACCCCGGCCGCAAACGGGGCGGCTACCCCAGCTGCTGGTTTGACTGTCAGCGCCTCGTCTCCAGCAGCGTGGGAATGCTTTGCGTGCAGACACTCCTGGAGGCGCGTCTGCTGTAACCTGCTTGCTGTGTGAAGCGGTTTGTGGCCTGATCTTTGTGCCGGTTTTATACTGGTAGGACTGTGTCATTTTGGGTTGTGATACTTAAAAAAAAAAAAAAAAAACTAATATGGTTATACAGGTTGGACCTCCCTGGTCTGGCACCCTCAGGGCCTGACCGGTCCCAAAGGAGGGAGTTGGCTGGGCTAGGGAAGGTTAATTCTGCCCCTCTGCTGGGTGACGCCTGGCTCTCCTGGGGTCCATCAGTGGATCTGGCTGGACTCCCCTGCACGGCTGCTGCCCCTGGGGCTGCATTGCCACCAGGCCTCCTCTGAGTCTCTGAGGCCACCAGGCCTCTGCTCCCTGTGGCTGAGCTTCCAGGGTTCTCTGGTAGGCTGTTTTACTTTCTGGTTCTCTGACAAGGTATTGCATTATGGTACAAACGGTATCTGAAAAATAGCTAAAAATTCTGCTGTAAAGCAAAAGTTCTAGGGCACGCTGAGACAGATACCTTAAGAGTCCCAGGACGTACTGGCACAACCAAATTTATAAGGCACACCGTGGCTGTCTACACACTGGGCCACTTATTCTGGAAAATCAGCCGCTTTTCCGGAATAAGCTGCGAGCTGTCTACACTGGCCCTTGAGACGCTCTACTGTACAAAATCAGCCGCTATTCCGGAAAAGCTACGCTGCTCCCGCTCAGGCATAAGTCCTTATGCCGGAACACTGTTCGGAAAAGGGCCAGTATAGACAGCCCAGTAGACTTTTCCGGAAAAAAGCCCCGATTGCGAAAATGACGATTGGGGCTCTTTTCCAGAAAAGTGCATCTACATTGGCCAGAGAAGCTTTTCCGGAAAAAGGGCTTTTCCGGAAAAGCAGCCTGCCAATGTAGACGCTCTTTTTCCGGAAATACTTATAACGAAAACTATTCTGTTTTAAGCATTTCCGGAAATTCATGCCAGTGTAGACACAGCCCGTGTGTGTGGATTCATCAAAGACTTACAAAACATGTAGATGGTACGTGACACCAAATGAAATTAATGGGTAGCAGGTTTAAAATGAATAGAAGAAAGTTCTTCTTTACACAGTTTGTAGTCAACCTGTGGAACTCCTTGCCAGAGGAGGCTGTGAAGGCTAGGACTATAACAGAGTTTAAAGAGAAGCTAGATAATTTCATAGAGGTTAGGTCCATAAAAGGCCTCTGTTTGTCAGAGGCTGGAGAAGGATGACAGGAGACAAATCGCTTGATCATTGTCTTTGGTCCACATTCTCTGGGGCACCTGGTGTTGGCCACTGTCGGCAGACAGGCTACTGGGCTAGATGGACCTTTGGTCTGACCCAGTACAGCTGTTCTTACGTTCTTATGGTATCATGAGCTTTCGTGGGTACAGACTGCTTCTTCAGATGACCGGAGTGTTGGAAGTCCAGAACCAATAATAAATAAGGGAAGGAGAGGAAGGGTGGGGAAAAGGAAAAAAGTTGGAGGCGGGGGGGCAGTTAAGCATGTGTCCACAATAACACTGTAAACTTTTTGGAGCATAGAGGGATGCTATTAACAGATATATTTTGTCTTTTGAATACAATTTAAATTTGTTTTAAGAATTTGCAAGAATGTACATTTCTCCCACACCTATGTTTAAAGTTACTCACAAGAATATGCTATTGATTTTAATAGGATTATTCTTGGCTCAAATGGCACATGTTCTGAAGCCTAACTTTAGGCATCTGAGTAAAAGCAGTTGAAGTCAGTAGGTCTACTATTGTATTTTGTCTATATTTTAATACGCTATAACCATGTCAATTAGAGACATAGCTGCCAGCTACTGCCAATATAAGACCTAGTATGGACACAGTTACATCAGCATAGCGACTTTATATTGTTTTGAAGCTTGAACATACATAAATTATACTGGTATAACAGTGTCCATGGCGGAATGCTTTTGCCAATCTACAGGTATAAACATACTGACAAAAGTCTCCTATTGCAGACAAAACGTTAAGTATGTGCTAAAGTACTTTGCTGTATCCCCATGCGTAAATTTGCTCATGGCCATAAGTGTTTGCAAGATGTACAGGTGTTACAAAGTTAAAATGTATTGATGACTTGAAAACTGGCGTCCTGCGTAGACCAGCTTCCACCTGCCCCCCTCACTTTACATGCTGCTGGCTCTCTGTCAGTGGTTACAGTGCTAGCTATTACTAGTTGATATTTTTCCTGGGCCACCATATGTGAGTTATCCATAGTTTTTCTTTCCTCCACCTTTTTAAGAAAAGTGACATTTTCAGATACTTTGCCTACAAACCAACCTCTGCACATTTCAGGTGCTAAAATGAGACTCCTCTTACATTATGCAGATCAAAAAATCATGTTCATTCCTCAGCTGCCCAGTCTATCTTCTTTCTTGTCTGCTTGATTGGCAGTGAAATAGTTAATTATGTACCCACTGAAAGATGATGGGCTATTAGCCTGATATAACAGGTCTCAGGAGTTATCTTAGAGCCCTGTGCAGATACAAAATTTTGTATCCGCATCTGTATCCACAAAAATGAACTGTGGATGCTGATACCCACAATACAGAGTGGATATCTGTAAATTTGCAGAGTTCTAGATACAAAATATGTATTGGCATCCGCATTCTCAAAAATGAGCTGCGGATATCTACATCAGCTAATGGAAATACTCATGGATATAGAGCAGATATTCATGGATTTGCAAGGCTCTACAGTTCATTCATTAGACGTGGTTACAGTTTGAAAGTTTTCTGTCCAGTTGAAAGGGTAGAGAGAATTTTTTTTAAATGAATCTCTTAGATTCTGATGCATAGGATGGTAGTGTTTTCTCCCCCAACCCATTTTCAGCTGGCTTAGCCACTCTAAGTGAGCCTTAACTTTCTTCCAGGCTGTGCCGGAGAAGATATGTTGCCTGTGTGAGTTTTCAGATGAAGTGTACTTAGCTTGGCTTTTTTGCTGCTGCTTGTCTCCCCTCCCCCCCCAGTCTCTCGTAGACCTTAAGACTAGAAGGGAAAATCAAGATAATTTAGTCTGACCTCCTGTATATTGCAGGCCACAAAATGTCACTCACCAACTCCTATAATAGACTCCATAAACTTTTACTTAGATTGTTCCTGCTGTCCACAGAAATTAGGACAAGAAGTATGGCTTAATCTGCAGCAAGAGAAAGTTAGGTTAGATCAGTGTTACTCAGACTGACACTTGCGAGCCACTAGTGGCTCTTTAATGTGTCCCCTGTGGCTCTTTGGGAAATGCTGTGCAGAGACTATTGATTCTGTGTTGGTGGCAGTTGAGGCAATGAAAATTGTTAAAGATATGGAAGACTTTCATGCGAAGAGAGATTAACAGTATTAGGAGTTTAGCAAGGAGAGGAATAAGAGGTTGCATGAAGAGTATATTGATGCACGTTAGGATTTCCTACATTTAGGAAATTTATGTGATAAAAGGGAGCATTTTTAAACAATACCCTGGATACAACTAGCATGTGGAACTCTCTGCTTTCATACATAATAGAAGCAAAGAGTTTAGCAGAATTCCAGAACCTTACGCTTATTACGTAGCTGTCCATTAGAAGGTTTTACATCTTCTTGGAAGTATGTTACTTGCTACTGTTTTAAGACAGGCTACTGTGCTAAATGGACCAGTTGTCTAATCTTTTATATCATTCTGAATTCTTGGTTAGAAGAAGAATTATGAAAAGTGCCTGCCACAGAGAAAAAAAGTTAAGTGAACTGGACTATTCATAAACATATTTATGACCTTCCAAAATTTGTGGCTGTTTGTGCGGGCTTTTTGTGATCTCACAACATTACATTAATATTTGAGGAACATCAGAATAAAGATGTACTTCTAAACTGGTTTGATTCAGTTACATATTTTCAGTTAGGTAATTAACAATAGTGCGTAATATAACGTGACTTCTGACTTGAAGAATTTAAATTACACATCTCTTTAATAGCAGCACAATAATATAGGATTTTAAATTAATTGATGCAATATTAACAGGTTTATAACTAAATAGGTGATGACCCTTTAAATGGGCTTCTTGAAATATATGCTCATCAAAGTTGAACAGAGGGTTTTACCTCAGATTTTTTTTTTTTTTTTGTTATCCTCATACTTTTCTGATGAGTGTTCTTTCCTTCCTTTTATACCTACTCTTTCAGTCTGTCACCTAACTTTCTAGGATAAATATTTGATCAAAATTATGAAGGAATTTTTGTTTGTCATGAGTTATAACAGCTTAAGATATTGACCTACAGGGGAGCCAGTCACATTCTCACTTAGCCTATACTGACTTGATTTTCAGTAAGTTTGTATGTGTGGAAGCATGTATCTATTTTACTCCTGTGGTTATTGACATTTATATGTGAATACTTGATTGCATGCCCACATGGCTAGAATGGAGCAGTTTCATTATGTTTACATGTGAATATCGTGGATTTGCTTGTGCACCTGATAAAGTGCACCAAGTAGATTTTGGTATTTGTTAGCACACTATTGGTTCATCTTATCATTTCTGCAAACTAAATGGAACACTTGTTGCCAAAGTCTGACAGGTCCTCTGTCTTTCTGTATTTAAATTTATGTTAGGGTATGTCTACACAGCAAAGTTTTTTCAAAATAAGTTGTTATTTTGAAATAACTTTACTAGTGTCTACACAGCCAAACCGCTATTTTGAAATTAATTCAAAATAGCGGAGCGCTTATTTCGAATTTGGTAAACCTCATTCCACGAGGAATAATGCCAAATTCGAAATAGCTATTTCAAAATAAGTGCTGTGTAGACATTTATATCGAAATAGGGGGCCTCCAGCCTTCCCAGGGTGCCCTTGTAGCCACTCCAGCCTCAACCAAGAACACCCCTCTCTCCAGAGCCCTTAAAGGGGTTCAGTTTGGCCACAGTGCCTGTGCCAGCTCCAAGCTTGCCAGCCCAGAGCCAACAGTCACTGCCCTGACCCAGTTGCTCCAAAACATGAGCCAGCAAGCCACTGGCAGCCAGCCCTCCGCCGCTCCCCAGGAGCAGTCTGCCAGCTCCCAGTAGCCCGCCAGGGCCCGAAGAAGGCGGGCGCCTTCCTGGTCCAGGGTGGAGATCACGGACCTTATTCAGGTTTGGGGAGGATGCCCCCAACATCCATGATCTCCGCACTAGACGGAGGAATGTGGCCATGTATGGCAGGATAGCTACCAGCCTGGCCACCAAAGGCCACATGCAAACCTAGGAGCAGGTTTGCATGATAATTAAGTTGGTCCGGCGAGACCCTCCCCCCCCAACCCTGAGTCCTGAGCTTCCCCTTCCCTTGCTTCCCCCTTCCAGCTCCCTCCTCCCAGGTTTCCCCTCCCCACTCCCACCCTCTTTTCTTCCCTATCCCGCCTCCTTTCCCTAGTTTCACCACAGTTTCATTCCCCTCCACTTTTGTTAAATAAAGAGAGTTTGTGTTCATGAAAATACATGTATTTTATTTGACATCAGGAAAGGGGACTAGGGAGGGATAAGTGGAAGGACGTGAGGGAGGAATGAGGCACAAGGCTCCAGTGGGGCAGACCAGGGAGGCTCTTAGTGCTCCTCAGGGTGGAAGCTCTCTCGCAGGGCCCCCTGGATACTGACAGCCCCCTGATGGACCTCCCAGATGGCAGCCTGCAGAAAGTGCAGCCAGGCTCGCAGCAACGTGTCCACGAGAAGCACCAGAGTGCCGAGGAGCAGGTCTGGATCCATGTTGCAGAGTGCTGTGGTGTCCCAAGTGAGGGCAACCAGAGCATGCAGAGACAAAATGCTTTGCTGTCCCTCATCAAGGTAGGCAAGCAAGCAGGGAAAGCTGAGAACCGGCTATCCGGGGGGGGGGGGGTCCCTTTAAGCACAGGCCTCAGATAGCCTCAGGCAGCAGCTGTACAAAGTAATTCTTGACCTGATGCCCTGCTGGACTTGGTTACGGCCGTCCTTAAATGCGATTCAGCGTCCACTCAATGTGGACGCACTATTTCAGAATAGCAAAACGCTATTTTGAAATGCATTTTGTGTGTAGACACGTTATTTCGAAATAACTTATTTCGAATTAACTATTTCAAAATAAGATATTTCGAAATAATGCTGTAGTGTAGACATACCCTTAGAGCTAGAGGCCTTCAGAGTACTTGTAGAGTTCATACTTTCCTGGATTTTTATCTCTGGTTACCTTCAGCCTCCTTTGTAAACATTCTTATTCATGGTGTCTCCAATTGTCATTAGTAGTTCATTCTTGTTCTTCAAGAGAATTACAGTCACCTTTTTTGTCACTCATTGTTGCCTGTCTGATCCAACTGGTGATGTGAATAATGACAATATGTAATAACAACTTTGTTATTCTTTGGTCAACAGATATCATTGTTCACTCTTATTTTGTATACTTTGGTCCTTCAGCGAATGTTTCTGTTTGTAGGTAAACTGACAGGATGTGGAGCATCAAATCAAAGGAGGTGCCTTTACAAAACCCACGAGACACTCAGAACAGGGATTCCGTCAGAGGTATGGATTTGCTTTGTTGTATTGCTTCTCTTTAGAAGTGGCTTTAGCCTGGATTGTATAATATTTTGTACTGTATTTTGTAGATACATTTAAACCAGTGGTCCCCAACCACCTGAGGCTGCCAGGCGCCAGAGGGTGGGGACACTTGCGCGCCCGGGGTGGGGCTCCCCCCATAGCTGCGGGGCCGGCACCCCCTTCCAAGTGCCGCGCGCCCGGGGCCGGCCCCCCAAGCACTGAGCACCCAGAGCGCAGGTGGCTAATTCGCGACGTTCCCGGGGCCAGTGCTCACCATGCGCCCGGGCCGGCTCCGGCACCATGCATGCGCCACGTGCCCGGGGCCAGGCCAGCCCCGAGCACTTGGCGGGCGCACACAAATGGCACCGTGTTGGGGACCACTGATTTAAACCATTTTGTTCAGCTTGCTTTTTTGTGAAACAGCAGTTCCCAGACAATCAGGGGTTGGCAACCTTTTCAAACCAGAGCCAAACTTCATCAAAATTCAGAGCAAGTGTGGTCAACAATAAGAATGCCCATTTGCATGACTGAAAATATACAACTTAATATTATTGATAATTGACATGATTAATAATAGCATAAATGAAACATACTCACAGACTTTATTTACTGGGACATCTGCTGCTTCAACTTTTTGCACGTTTCTTTGATGTTTACATCATAACTGGTCAAATTCAGATTCATGCGCACATTCATGCTACATGAGTATTTACATGTTTTTAAAATTTTGAATTTTTCATTTTAATTTAAAAAGTTGCATGTATTTTGGAAATGACCAAATAACCATATTTGGTTCCATACTGAGCCATAGGTTGCAGATCCCTGTCCCAGACAATTGTGAAGATAGCCTGTTAGATAACTTGGTGCAGAGAGCTGTTAGATCACTTGGTGCTGACAGCATTTCATTGTTTTCAGATGCTTCTATAAATGTTCAAGCTCTTCATTGCAAGCTTTTGTCAAGAAAAGACAAAACATTAAGTTAAAACAGTTAAATTGATATTTTCTAGTATTACTTTTTCATGTAAGCAATTACTTCAATTGTCATATGGAAGATGTGTGATCACAAACATGAGTGCAGGCTGTCCATGATAAGATTTTGGTTAAGATGTGGTCCACACTATGACAACTTGAGAACCTCTGCTATAGTAGATAGCAAGCATACTTGACCTATAAGAAACATATAGACCTCATTGTAATTGACTATGATTGTCTCCTAGGAAGATCTTGTGAGTGTCTTGTTAGAGTTTATAGACTTATAATTAAGGAAATATTATTGCAGGGTTTCACGGATTTTACACGTGTTTTGTGGAGGTATTATTTCTCAGCAGATGTGTCCTATTTCTATTTTCAAATCCTCTCTTCTCTTTTATCATGTTGTTACAACTTGTTTTAAATTTGATCAGTAGCCATTCAGGGCAGGGACCGGATGTAGTTGGTTGGTTGGTTGTTCCTGGCACAATGTGGTCCTGATCCTGATTGGGGCTTCTGTGCGCCACTGTAACATATAATTACCTTTAGCAACACTTACAGATGACTTTAAAAAAAGTGCATATCAAAATATTCTGCTTTAAGGAAAAAGATAGTACCTAAATACTATTTCAATCATTTTGGGTATATTACTAGGTTTATGAAGATAGGTTTATAAGCGTTACTTCTTTTTTAAAGTTAGCTATCACCCATTCTTTGGAAATCTTGGCTATATGTAACCTGTGAAGCTTACACAAATAAATTGGTACTCGAGAATAACAAGCTGACAACCTACAGTCTAAGTGGGTGGGTGCTTCTGTTGACAATACATTCATAACCTGTTTATATACACACATATGTGTGAGAGATCATATCTGTATGTGTGTATTTATATATTTGTGTGTGTATATATGTGTGTGTATATATATAACATTTCAAGAGCATGAGATATAAAGGAAAATCTCATAAATATTTGTGTGGTCACATTGCTAATGAATTTGCTATAGAATATGTAGGCATTTTGGCTTTAGATATAGTAAGAAATTCAAACTTACACGACTCTTACTAACTTTTTTTTTTTTGGTTGAAAATATAGTTTGTAAAGAAAATCCTGATATTACATTGCTCTGTATAATGATGCTGTCTGATGATCACCCCTCATATTGGAGTTTCATAGTTTGGGATGAATTCATTAAAAGGAATTGGTTTTAATTTTTTTTTTTTTTTTGTGAGATCTAACCACAGCACAGGATAATTTTTCTCAAACTAAGGCTATTTTAAGTGTTGTTTTTTTCTAGACTGAAATCAGTTAATGGCCACTGCAGTTTTATTGAATGCATTATTTGACCATAGTCTGTTAGAGAAGTAAAAATAGGATATGTGGTTTGGGGGAATGAAGAAGATAGATGTTCTCATTGCTTTGGACAGCAGTTCTCAAAGTAATTTAGTGCTACAAAAAGCTCAGTACCAAAGAAAATGAAAAATCAGTCTGTTTTATAGTAGTCAAACAACACAGTTATCAATTAGTAGTAGTATTTGTATCAATCAGAATGGTATTAAGAAAGTATGGGTAATTTTAATTTTGTTTTGTAGTTTCTTTTTAGTTATGGCATAAAAATGTAAATGTTAACAGAATCTTGTGATACCTTTACATTGAAGCTTTTAACTAATATTGAATATTTCTTTGTTTATTTGTATTATCATAGTGCCTAGGAATCCTAGTCATCGGCTAGGACCCCTTTGTGTTAGGCACTGTAGTAACACAGAACAAAAAGACAGTCCATTCCCTACAGAATTTTCATAAGCACATAATCTACCAACTGGTAGCACTGTAAGTAATGGCCAAAGTACATGTTAGCTTTCACCAAGCTGAATATTATAAAAAAAAATCTTACTCCTGAAAACCTTAGAGTTAGTAAATATCAAGGCCAAGATTTTTTTCCCCCGAAAGTAACTAGAGATTTTGGATGTCCAATTTTGGCACTTTAAAAGATACTAGTTGTCAGTACTGAATGCTTGTCTTCTGAAAATCCAGACCTCTTTTCAGTGTTAAAGTTGAGTACTCAAAGTCACTAGGTATATTTGAAAATCTCCGAGTTCTCTGCAGGTGTGAGCTGTAAAGTGAGATACCTATATTCATCATTTTAAAGCAGGGATAGAGAACCTTTTTTGGGTTGGGGCAAATTCTTTGTGCTCCAGCCCTGCAGGAGGTGGGTGTCAAGCTGGAGCGCCAGCGTGGGCTTCCCAATGCTGCGGAAGAGCCCTGAGCCCCAGGGGCCGGATCCAGGCAAGCTGGGGGCTGCATCCAGCCCTCAGGTCTTAGGTTCTCCCATCCCTGTTTTAAAGGAACTAGCTGGCCGCCTCTTACATACAGGCAGTCCCCGGGTTACGTACAAGATAGGGACTATAGGTTTGTTCTTAAGTTGAATTTGTTTGTAAGTCGGAACTGGCTCCAGATTCAGCTGCTGCTGAAACTGATCAGCAGCTGATTACAGAAAGCCCTAGGCAGAGTTGCTTTGCCCCCGGCTTCCTGGAATCAGCCGCTGATCAGTTTCAACAGCGGCTGAATCTGGACTCCTGGGACAGAACAGCTGGGGTCCCCCCCAGCACAGCAGGGAGACAGGAGCAAAGCCGCCCCGCCGCCTGTGCGGCTTTGCTCCGGGGCAAAGGAGCAAAGCCGCACGGGCAGCAGGGTCCCGCCGCCTGTGCGGCTTTGCTCGGGTCTCCCTGCTGTGCTGGGGAGTCCCCCCCCCAGCATACCAGGGAGACCCAGAGCAGCTTTTCTCGCCCCGGAGGATGCGGTGGTGGGACCGCTGCGCTCTGGGCAGTCCCGCCGCCCGCAAGCTCCGGGACGAGAAAAGCCCCGTTCGTAAGTGCGGATCCAACATAAGTCGGATCTGCGTAAGTCAGGGACTGCCTGTACTGATATTCACAGACTAGGGCTGTTGAAGCAATATTACAAGTGTTTCGTAGTTTGGTATGTACTGCACCAATCATGGAATGCTACCGTGATGTGGAACTTAAACCTATATACTTAGGATGCAGTGCTACATTGTCTATAAACTGGGTACAGTAAAATCAAGTATTTGGCAGTTTAGGGAATTTCTCTGTATGTCCACCATCCCTCTAATTTTGAATAGCTAAGAGAAGTGATGTAGTTTTATATGTTAAATCCTATTTCATGTTCCGTTTAGAGCACAGCATTATACAAAATGATATATTTTCTTTCTTAGTGGTTATGTTTCAGTGAGGCTAAGTGTTAAGACCTTTGGCATTTTGTGTTATTCTGTTGTTGGCAAAAGACCCATTAATGGAAACTGATTTAGTCGACAGAACTTAATGTGGATAATCTCTTTTTATACTAATGTTTCTGGTCACAAGATTATAGAAGTTTATACTACCAGAATTTTAAAGCTGTTCTTGACTGAGATTGTTTCATACTGTGAAAGTGAGAGGAGTTTTGTACTTTTAAAAAAAGTTGTATCCTCATCATTCATGAAATGCATCTAAATATTGTTTTGTGTTTTGAAATTCTAGTTGTGTCATATTGAGAACAAACTGGAGATAACACCTACTTTCGCAGTGGTATTTGATTCTGTCATGGATGCCAAGAAGCCCACAGCCAGTGCTACCAGGAAAATAAGTAGGAAAGGTGTGTATTACTTAAAAGATTTCATTATATATGACAAGGTATGAATAAGTCTTTTTGAATACCACCTTTTTTATTTTTAATATTATTTTCCCAGTTTTCTTTCATGAACTTGAGAAAAAGTTGGATTAATGTTTCACCTTCTCGTGAATACATTGTCTTGATGGGGAAAAAGGTGCCTATCTGGTGATAGTATTTGAATCTCACTAGAAAGGTGCTTTGCTCAATTTGTGCTTTTCATAAACAGAAAACAGTAGTATTACATTGGAGTGACCAGCAGAGTTTCAAACATTTAACTAGTTAACTTATTTTAATAGTTTCATGACACTGGCTTTCAAGGATAAATGTCCTTAAAATATTGCATTTTAGAGTGAACTAGTGCAATGATTTGCTTGAGTGTTTACCACTTACTCCTGGTAGCTTAAGCAACTTATTGGTGAAGAGAAGGTGATAACTTAAGTGCTATTCTTGAGCACTAATGGAATCCAAGGAGAGCTGCTTTCCAAACCACTCAGCCCTATGAGCCTTCTCTTCCTGCAGATGGTAGGTACCTAGAGGATTCTTTGGTTTTTGCTTCAGCCTCCAGGTCTTCCAGCCAAAACAAGTCACACAAAGAGAAGTCCTCCCGCAGTCCTCTTCAAGCCACAACTCTGGAGAGCAATGTGAAAAAGAGTAGCCGTGTGGAATTTCGTGAACCATTGGCTTCATATAGGTTAGTGCAACATCCATTTGCAGGAAGATGGACACAATGATCCAATAGGTCTCTTACATTTTTAACTTCAGTGATAATCCACACCCCCCCCCCCATATTTAGAATATCACTGAAGTGTTGTATTTGTTGCTGAAAATGAATTCTTGTTCTTCTCCTGCTTCTGCTAATCACCTATAGTAATGTGCTGTAATTCTACTCATTTCTACTAAATCCAAGCATGTCATTCTTAGTAGTGAGGCAGTACATTTGCTTTTAAAGATCTGAGAGCTAGATAATTGGGATTTCTAAAGAGGTCTAAGTGAGTTGGGCACTCAAGCCTCTTAAGCTATTCTGAAAATTCTAGCCCTAATCATTATTAGTCTTCTCAGCTTAGAAAAGAGATGTCTCAGGGGTAATATGATTGAGATCTACAAAATCATGACTGGCACAGAGGAAGTAGATAAGGAAGTGCTATTTACTACTTCCCGTAACACAAGAATTAGGGCTCACCAAATGCTATTAATAGGTAGCTGATGTAAAACAAACAAAAGGAAGTATTTCTTTACACAGTGCAGTCAATCTGAGGAACTCTTGGTCAGAGGATGTTGCTGTCACCAACGTGTGTGGCGTCTCAGGCCCTGCACCCCATCCACAGTCAGATATTGCTCTCAGCCAGCCGGTAGAACAGAAGATTTATTAGTTGACAGATACACAGCGTAAAACAGACTTGTCAGCACAGGAAACAGGAACAGTCAGTACAATCCATCTTTGGGAGAGGGGGCCCAGAGCTAGGGCCTGTCTCTTTTCCTGTGCCACAAGCCAACCGAGATTAACTCACATGCCTAGCAGCCTTGTCCTAGCCCCCTGCCCGGCCCCTCCTCTGGCTTTTGTCTTGCTTCCCGAGCAAAAGATGTTACCTGGATGCCCTCCTCTCCCCCTCCGTTGCTCAGATTATGAAGGGTATCAGCCATTTTGTATGTGCAGGAGGCTGGGTAGTTTCTTCAGTGAGAATCACACCTGAAATTCCCTTCATCACCTATGTATTGGTACAGTACCCTGGGAAATAGAGGCACGCATGCACATGGGGTTACTATAGGACAGTAGAACTCACATACTACATAATAAGGGGAATAAAAACCTCAGTTTGTCACAGTTACAAATCCCAAAACTATAACAGAATTTAAAAAGAGTCAGATTAATTCATGGAGGTTAGGTCCATCAATGGCTATTAGCCAGAATGGTTAGGGATGGTGTTCTTAGATTGTTTGCCATTGTTTATTTGTTCATGCTGGGAATGGATGACAAGAATGGATCACCTGTTCTGTTCATTCCCTCTTGGGCACCTGGCACTGGCCACTGTTAGAAGACAGCATACTGGGCTAGACGGACATTTGGTTTGACCTAATATGGCCGTTCTTATGTTCTTAGTCACTTCTTGCCATGTTAGCTTTTTTTCAACAATTTCACACTGTTGACTCATATTTAGCTTGTTCATTGTGACCCCTAGATCTCTTTCTCTAGTACTCCTTCCTAGACAGTCACTTCCCATTTTGTATGTGTGAAACTGATTGTTCCTTCCTAGGTGGAGTACTTTGCATTTGTCCTTTGTTGAATTTCATCTTGTTTACCTCAGACCATTTCTCCAGTTTGTCCAGATCATTTTGAATTTTAATCCTATCCTCCAAAGCACTTTCAACCCCTCCCACCTTGGTATCATCCGCAAACTTTATAAGCATACTCTCTATGCCATTATCTAAATCATTAATAGAATCATAGGGTTGGAAGAGACCTCGGGAGGTAATTGAGTCCAACCCTTTGCCCAAAGCAGGACCAACCCCAACTAAATCATCCAAGCCAGGGCTTTGTCAAGCCAGGACTTAAAAACCAGTAGGGATGGAGATTCCACCACCTCCCTTGGTAACCCATTCCAGTGCTTCACCACCTTCCTAGTAAAACAGTTTTTCCTAATATCCAACCTAGACCTGCCCCACTGCAACTTGAGACCATTGCTTCTCGCTCTGTCATCTGTCACCACTGAGAACAGCCTCTTCCCATCCTCTTTGGAACTCTTCTTGAGGTAGTTAAAGGCTGCTATCAAATCCCCCCTTACTCTTCTCTTCTGTAGACTAAATAAGCCCAAATCCCTCAGCCTCTCCTTGTAAGTCATGTGCTCCAGCCCCTAATCATTTTGGTTGCCCTCCGCTGGACCCTCTCCAATGCGTCCACATCCTTTCTGTAATGGGGGGCCCCCGAATTGGGCACCGTATTCTAGATGTGACTTCACCAGTGCCAAATAAAGGGAAATAAGCACTTCTCTAGATCTGCTGGCAGTGCTGCTCCTAATGCAGCCTAATATGCCGTTAGCCTTCTTCGCTACAAAGGCACACTGACCCATATCCAGCTTCTCATCCACTGTAATCCCGGGTCTTTTTCTGCTGAACGGCTGCCTAGCCATTTAGTCCCCACCCTGTAACAGTGCTTGGGATTTTTCTGTTCCAAGTGCAGGACTCCTTGTTGAACCTCATCAGATTTCTTTTGGACCAATCCTCCTGTTTGTTTTGATGAAGATATTGAACAGAACCGGTCCCAAAATTGATCTCTGAGGTACCCCACTTGTTATGCATGACTGTGAACCATTGATAAACTACTCTCTGAGAGTACAGTAATTCCTCATTTAACACTATAGATGTGTTTCTGAAAATGTTTGTGCTAAGCGAAAACGTGCTATGTGGGGTCAATTTTCCCATTAAAAATAATGTTAAAGGTGGGGGTTGCATTTTAGGCGGTGGTAGCAAAGTCAATTTTTTGTTAGTGCTGGGTTGTCAACATCAACATTAGATATCTAGCAACACAAGATATCTAGCAACACAAGTCACCATGGTTTGTTAAAACACAAAGATAAACACGTGAGTGGAGGAGTAGTGTGACCACGTGTATTCATCCGCTCATGCGTATTACCACTGTTTTCACAACTTACACTGCAGTGTGAAGTAGTCCGCCACTTGATTATTTTCATGTTATTTCGGGGACGGTCGTGTTATTCGAAAAACATTCCCTAAAAAAAATGTGCTATTGCAAAAATGTGTAAAGTGGGCACGTGTTAAATGAGTAATTACTGTAATTATCCATCTAGTTATGCACCCACCGTATAGTAGCCTTGTCTACTAGTCTTTCATTGATTTATTCATAAGAAGACCGTACAAAACTGTATCAAATGGTTTACTAAAATCTAGGGTTTGCACATATACTGTTTCCCTCTTATCCACTAGGCTTGCTATCCTATCAAAGAAAGCTGTCATATTGGTTTGGCATGTTTTGTCTCTACAAATCTATGCTGACTGTTCCTTATCTTATTGTTTTCCCGATGTTTGTAAATGGATTCCTTTATTATTTTCTCCATTATCTTTCCTGGCACAGAAGTTAAGCTGACTGGTCTGTAGTTTCATTGGTTGTCCTTATTTCCCTTTTTATAGATGGGCACTATATTTACCTTTTCCAGTCTTTTGGAATCTCAGCTAATGGCTCAGATACCTCATCAGTCAGCTCCTTAAGTATTATAGGATGCATTTAATCAGGGTTTGGTGACTTGCAGACATCTAACTTTTCTAAGTAATTTTTAACTTGTTCTTTTCCTATTTTAACTTCTGAGCCTACTTCCTTTTCTCCAGCATTCATTATGCTAGGCATCCAATCATCACCAAACTTCTTGGTGAAAACTGAAACAAAGAAGTTGTTAAGCACCTCTCCCATTTCCATATTTTCTGTTACAGTTTTTCTTTCTTCATTGAGTAATGAGCCTGCCCTGTCCTTGGTCTTCCTCTTTTTTGTAATATATTTGTAGAATGTTTTCTTGTTACCCTTTGTGTCTAGCTAGTTTGAGCTCATTTTGTACCTTCGCCTTTCTAATTTTGCCCCTACAATATTTGTGTATATTCGTTCTCTGTAATTTGACCTAGATTCCATTTTTTATAATGGGTCCAGCCCCACTGTTATCTAAATATCAGTAGAAACTAAATGTAAGCAAACATAAAACTTCTTTTATGCCTTTAGACTCCTCTTTCCAACTATTGATTTTCTTACTTCTTGGCTACATAGGATGCAGAATGGGGCATGTCAGTTTGGCTGGGGTTTCTTTTGTCAATTAAACTGTTCCTGTTGCTAGTTCCCCATCTGGAATAATTTTTTCTTGACATGAAATGGAAGAGACTAGCTTTTTACTTCGTGAAGGTTGTAAGATCACATATTCAAGTCAGGGCATTCAGATTGTATTGCTTGCACTGATTGCCAATTGTCAGTGTCCTGTGTACTTTTGTAATATACATTACTAAGAGCCTATATTTAACAGGGGAAAAAAGAAATAGAGAATACCGTGTGCAGTGTTATGCACATGGCTTGAAAAAGCTCCCTTGAACATACTGGCCAAAGGACTAAGCCTAGTAGACTAGATGAAAAAGTCTACCATTTCACCTCAACAGTCCTGCCATGCATTGGCACATCTTCACCACCATAACCTCAGTAAACCTTACATAAATTCTACTCTAACACGCATACATCCTAGATACTCAAGAAGCTGGCTGAGGAGATATGAGCCATCAACAAATCTTCAAAAATTCATGGAAGCCAGGAGAGATTTTTAGAGGACTGGAAAATGACGCTATACTGGCCCATTTATGAAAAAAGGGGAACAAGGACAATCCAGGGCAGTCAGCTTCATTTCAGTTTTGGAGCAAATATTCAATTTGCAAACACCTAGAAGATAATAAAGTGATAAGTAACAGTCATGCATTTTGTCAAGAACAAATTGCATCAAACCAACCTAATACAGGTTGAACCTCTGAAAACCAGGACTCAGGTCTGGCCACATCCATGATCCGGCAGGACCACAAATACTCCTGGACCAGAGAACCCAGGAGTCTAATGGTTAGGAGGAAGGAAGCCTGTCTGGGGGAAGCAGGACTGGAGCCTCACAAAAGTGTTGGGAACGGGGCGGAGAACCCCAGCAGCCTTTGGCAGTGCGGGGCTAGGGAACCTTGGCTACATGGAGTCTGGGTCCGAAGAAGCCTGCAGGGCCATTGGCTGGAGAATCCCAGTTGCCTGCAGCAGCATGGGGTTGGGGGCTGAAGAAGCCTGGCTGCCTGTCTCAGCATGGGACTAGGGACTGGAGAACCACAGAAGCCTGTGGCAGCATGGAGCCGCAGAAACCTGGCTGCCTGCAGTCTGTGCGGGGCCAGTGAACCACAGCGGTGCAGGGCTGGGGGATCATAGAATCATAGAATACTAGGACTGGAAGGGACCTCGAGAGGTCATCGAGTCCAGTCCCCTGCCCTCATGGCAGAACCAAATACCGTCTAGACCATCCCTGATAGACATTTCTCTAACCTACTTTTAAATATCTCCAGAGATGGGGATTCCACAACCTCCCTGGGCAATTTATTCCAGTGTCTGACTACCCTGTCAGTTAGGAACTTTTTCCTAATGTCCAACCTAAACCTCCCTTGCTGCAGTTTAAGCCCATTGCTTCTTGTTCTATCCTCAGAGGCCAAGATGAACAAGTTTTTTCCCTCCTCCTTATGACACCCTTTTAGATACCTGAAAACGGCTATCATGTCCTCCCCCCCCCAGTCTTCTCTTTTCTAAAGTAAACAAACCCAATTCCTTCAGCCTTCCTTCATAGGTCATGTTCTCTAGACCTTTAATCATTCTTGTTGCTCTTCTCTGGACCCTCTCCAATTTCTCCACATCTTTCCTGAAATGAGGTGCCCAGAACTGGACACAATACTCCAATTGAGGCCTAATCAGCGCAGAGTAGAGATGGAGAACCCTGGACGCCCATGGCACCCTGGGCTGGTGGCAGCAGGGTGGACAGCCTGGCTGGGGAGGGGGAGAGAGGGGGGGGTCCAGCTGGCTTGGGGCCAATGGCAGGGAACACCTCCCCTAGTCTGGAAAATTCTCTTGTTTGGGACCAGTCAGGTCCCGTCACTGCCAGACCAGGTGGATCCAGCCTGTAACTTTCTTTGATAGGGTAACATGCCTTATAGCTGGGGGGAAGTGATAGATGTGGGGTATCTTGATGTTAGCAAGGCTTTTGGCTCTGTCTTACATGACCTTCTCATAAATAAACTAGGGAAATGCACCCTAGATGGAGGGTGCATAACTGATTGGAAAACTATTCCCAGAGAGTAGTTATCAAGCTGGAAGGGCATATAGGCTGTGTCTAGACTGCCTCCCTCTGCCAAGAGAGGGATGCAAATCAAGCACTTTGGAAGTGGAAATGAGCCTGGGGTTTAAATATCCCAGGCTTCATTTGCATACTCATGTTCCGACGCTGTGCCGATTAGGCTCAGTGTCGAAAATGGAAGTAAAGTGTAGCTGCGGCTCTGCCGACAGCGGGGAGAGCATTTCCCTAGTTTATTTATGAGACGGTCATGTAAGACAGAGCCAAAAGCCTGTTAACATCAAGATACCAAAGATATCAAAGAAAGTTACAGGCTGAATCCCCCTGCTCTGGCAATGACAGGACCTGACTGATCCCAAACAAGAGAATTTTCTAGACCAGGGGAGGTGTTCTCTGCCAGTGGGGTCCTATACAGATTGGTCCTGGGTCCGTTGTGTTCAATATCTTCATTAATGATTAAGATAATGGCACACAAAGTATACTTTCAAAGTTTGCAGATGATAGCAAGCTGAGAGGAGGTTACAAGTGCTTTGGAGGATTTTGACACAGTGACTAGGATTCTCTCTGACTTAAGAAGCTCACAGGTGTTTATACTATATAATTCATATAGATCAAGATTTCCCAACCTATGTATGGGTCAGGACCCAAATATGGGTCACCATTATGTTTCAAAAGGGTCGCCAGGTGTCTCCCCAGGTGGCTCTTAAGGAGCCATTCGCACATTTTTAAAATTGTCCTGGGTTACCAAGTCTTCCTGAATTGTCAAAATGGGTCCGCATCTGGAAAGGGTTGGGAACCGCTGATATAGATAATAATGACACTGGAGTTTTTTCAAACTTTGTGCTGTTTCTACTGTTTTTTTCTAATGTTGACTTTCTTTTATGGTAGAGAGACTTATGGTGTGCCGTCTTACCAAAGCTCTAGTCAATTGGAGGCGAAATGTTTACTGTCTGGGTTAGACAGTACTGAAGCACACACTAAAAATGGAGGACTGAACCATATGATATATGTCCGGGAAGAACTTGACTTACATAACAGAGGTTTTGAAAGCCCACGTTCTTCAGCAGTAGATGACACAGTTGTTAGATATTTGAATGACCGACCAGCCATAGATGCTTTGCAGAACATCGAGTCTCTTTTTAAAGCTGCACCTCCTACAACATCAGAGGAAAAGACTAGTGGATCCAGAAGAGATGAGAACAACACTAAAACTCCTTTGAGTAGCATAGCCCAGGATGCTGAACTAAAAGGGATAAGGCTGGCAGAGTCTTCCCCTTCTTCTACTAGTACTTCCAGTGCCCACAAACTGGAAATCTTAAAACGGAGGCAGCATGATGCTAAATTTCATGATGCTAAATTGGAGAAGCTGAAGGAGCGGATTAGGAAACAATGGGAGCATGTAGAAGATTTAGGCAGCAAAGTACAACTTTTTGGATATGCTGAGCAGCCTGTAGTGGTAACAAATGTGGAGAACGCAGTGACGCCAAAAGTCAGAAAAGTGGCAGTTGCACCCCCTGCTCCAACATATAAAGGTATGTACATCCTTTATCTTGTGTTATTTATATATAGGGGGTGGAGAGAGAGAGGGGAGAGCTTTTGTGGAGCAGCATGTCAAAATATGGCAATTGGCTTGTATTTTCTGTCTGGGGAGGAATCAAATCTGATTATAGGCAAGAAATTATGCCATCTAAATGTATATCTTTAATATGCTTTACATACATTATAATTTCTCCTGCACTTTCTCCTCAATCAAGACAGAAAATTAGAGCATACTATATCCTTACTCTCTCAGGTTACCAACATTCTAGGTGCATTTTCATGTAGCCCTGAGCAGAGTCTGGTAATTTATATATTCTGAGAAAAAAATTGTTCTAATCACTTTGTCAAAGGTATGTTAAAGATGAACTGCATTTTTAAAAGTTTAAAGGTTTGAAGCGAAAGCCAGGAAACGCTTTTCACTTCTCTACACTACAGAGAAGATCGAAGTTGCCACTGTCAATCTTTCAGGGTTCAAATGAGCGGGTCTAGTTAAGACATCATTCAAACTGAGAGGGCCGCTCCTGTTGATGCCAGTAGTCCTGCTTCCATGAGGAGTAAGGGAAGTCAAAGGAAGAGTGTTCTCCCTTTGACTTCCTGCAGTGTGGACGGCTCCAAAAGTTGAGTTACGCTACTTCAACTTCAGCAATGAAATTAACTTAGCTGAAGTTGTGTATCTTAATTTGACCTTGTCCCGTAGTGTAGACATACCCTTTGTATTCCTGTTGAAATATAAAGAGAATAAAATAAAGTATTGTTCTTAACTTCTGGCCCCCACAATTTCGGAGACAATAGTAATGGGTGTGTTCTAACATTGTTTCATAATAGAATTTACACTTTTTTTCAAAGACAAACAAAGGCAGAAACCCCAAAAGGTACAATTATTAAGATTAACGAAAATATCCTTCAGAGTTCAGGGAATTCATTCAGATAATTCAGAATGAGGCTTCTTGAGATTTATATGAATGTATTATATTTTTATGTACAATTTATAAAGTTGTTTACTCATTGAATGAGGCTTTTTTAAAGCTGTTTCTGACTATAATAGAAATACAGTCTTGTGCACAAGAACTTTTTAAATGGAACTTCTTTTAAATTTGTTGAACACACACTAGAAATGGACCCTGCCTGTGAAATTAGGGTCTGGTTTTCCCTTTAAACTCAGTGATACTTTTGTGAGGGAATAAAGTATGAGTCTTCCGATAAATGTGTGGAATTCAATCCAAAATTTTAGGTGCCTAGGTACTCTTTGTGCACAATAGAGCCTTTGAAATCTAACATTTTGATTAGTTTATGCATTTCTCCGAAATCTCAAAAAATGAATCTTGGTCTTTACTCTCTAAATTGAGATATTGAAGAGGTATGGAAGGAATGAACAGAACAGGTAATCATCAAGTAATCCATCCCCTGTTGCCCATTCCCAGTTTCTGGCAAATAGAGGCTAGGGATGCCATTCTTGTCCATCCTCGTTGATAGCCATTGATGGACCTATCCTCCATGAATTTATCTACTTCTTTCTTGAACTCTTTTATAGTCTTTACTTCTCAGCATCCTATGACATCCACAGATTGTGCACTGAGTGAAGAAAAACTTCCTTTTGTTTGTTTTAAACTTGCTACCTATTAATTTCATTTGGTGACCCCCTGGTCCTTGTGTTATGTGAAGGAGTAAACAACTCTTCCTTATTCATTTTTTCAATACTAGTCATGATTTTATAGACCTCTGTTATATCCCACTCTTAGTTGTTTCTTTTCCAAGGCGAAAAGCCCCAGTCTTTTAAACCCCTCTCCATGTGACAGCTGTTCCATATCGCTAATCATTTTTATTGCTTTAAAAAAAATTTCCAATACCAAGATAACTTTTTTTTTTGAGATGAGGTGACCACATCTGCACACAGTATTCAAGATGTGGGCGTACCATGGATTTACCTAGACGCAATAGGATACTCTGTCTTATTCTCTAACCCTTTCTTAATGATTCCTAACATTCTGTTTGCGTTTTTGACTGCTGCTGCACATTGAGTGGATGTTTTCAGAGAACTATTCACAATTACTCCAAGATCTGTCTCTTTGAGCAGTAACAGATAATTTAGTCCCCTCTTACTATATATATGGTTGGGATTATGTTTTCTAATATGCATTCTTTTGCATTTATCAACATTAAAATTCATCTCCATTTTGTCGCCCAGTCACCTAATTTTGTGAGATCCTTTTGAATCTCTTCACAGTCTGTTTTGGACTTGACTATCTTGAGCAGTGTAGTATCATTTGCAAATTTTGCCAACTCACTGTTTACCCCTTTCTCCAGAACATTTATGGATATATTGAATATGATTAGTCACAGTATGGACCCCTACGGGACACCACTAGTTACCTCTCTCCATTCTGAAAACTGACCATTCATTCCTACCTATGGTTTCCCATCGTTTTAACCAGTTAAATTATGGGAGCCTGGAATTAAGAAAAATAGCTTATCTTCTTCATATTTCAACATGAACAGAAAGTGAAAAGCTTAACCTTGCACTTCCTGTCTTTTAACCAGTACTTTTGGCAATGCTCCTTGTTAACCTAGTGCTTATCAACTGCTTGCGATATAGTACATTCTCATAATGTAATTTACCTTAGCAACTAATGATATTTTATATGGTGCCGAAGGCTATGTCTGTATTACAAAGATAAGTCAACTTATAACCACCACATTAATTATCATGATCGCTGGTGTCCACACTTCCTCCTTTCTGTCTGTGGTTTGTGTCCTCACCAGGAGCACTTCTACCATTTGCAAACTGGCAATGTGAGGAATCGAAAGCCAGGGTTCTTAGCTTCATGTAGGTCCCCACTGGGAGCCCAGCTGCCCTCCAAGGAGTTTTGCCTTCCCATCCCAAACTGGGAGTGGGTGGGCAGCTACCCAGGACATCTCACCTCCAGAGTGGAGTCTTGTCTGGGCAGCTGCTGTGCTTCCGGCAGGGAGCCAGCATTCAGAAGGGTGGGGATGGCAGGACTCCCAATTGTGAGCTGGGAGCCTAGGTGGCAACTCGAGTTAGGAGAGGAATGGCACCTGGCTTGGCATGAAGACCGGATAGCAGCACAGCTTAGGAACCAGAAATTGGCTTTTTTGTTAATTTGGAGCTGTGAAATTGAAAAGAGTAACACCTAATACCCGATGTAAGGAACACACTGTCTATGTAGATCTCACTATACCGACCTAAGCACTACACCTCTTAAGGTGGTTTTATTATGTTGGCACAGCAGGGAAGTTATTTCAGTGGGAGGAACATTTCAGTCTATACCTCCACTGTTATGTCAACAAAACTATGTAGTATAGACAAGACCTACTAACACATTTTTTCCCCTAAAGTTTTTAAAAGAAATCTGCAAAATCTCTGTTTTTCATAGG